CTGCGGTTTCGTAGCGATTTCAAAACCGAATGTCAAAAAACATACAAAAATAAACGGTTTCACAACATCCGTTTTCGAAACAAAATTTGCGCGCGCGCGCGCTGTTGCGAACTCTCCGGAAAATCATACGATTTCAACATCTTCATGGAATTCTGCAAAACGGGCTTCCGGCGCCGCATGCCGACATATATCGCACGCCTTTGCGCGCGTGCTGGGGGGGGGGCACGATCCGTGTCAAATCAAACCATGCGAGCCGCTCTCGCGCGTCGGCCGCGCGCGCATGTCGAACTCATTCCACAACCTACATCACCGACGCGAAGACGTCGCCATCGTCGTCGGCGCGATCGGCATCTGCGCCCGCACGGGCCGCGCCTTCGTCGGTGCGAACATTGTCACCAGCATCGTTACTATCATCATCGCGTCTACCGTAGCCGGCGTTGCCATGATACCGCACCCGTCCAAGTCGCCGACTCGCAATGAAGTGCCCGCTGGGATGCGCCCAGCGGTCAGCGCCACAGCGGCCGCGTCGGCGGCGCCAAACTAGCCCGCCGCTTCGCGCGCGTGCTAGGGTTGGCGCGGCCGCAGAGATGCACCACCCAACGCCAAGCACGCATCGCAATCGCCACCGCATGGGTTTTGCAAACCAAGTTGCCGGCGGGTGGATGGGACGCTTGCGAAGAGCATTGGATGTGTCAACTCATGGGTAAAAATCTATGCTCCGCACTACAAATTAAAGTTCCACCACCCTTCCCCCCCGACTTCTCGATTCCCCGGGAACCTTTTTACAAAAAAAATGAATCTGACCCAATGTCCATCCGACCTTCGAATTCGTACTATCCCAGCCAGGTCGGTATCCGTACCCCTCGGTTATCAAATTCCTCAGCTTTCAAAAACCCCTTGCAAAAAAACGGGACTGCACACGCGCGCGTCGTCGCGCACGCATGCCGAGATCCTTCAAAAACCTTCGGTTTCGGAAGGAATAATTAATCGAGTGTCCAAAACACATTTCTATATATCCGCCGGCCCCCTTGTGGGGCCACCAGGCTGTAGGCGCGGGTTCGCAGTTTCCTGTGCCAGTTGTAGCTTGTAGTTTCCAGTGTTACAGTTCTGCTTCTTGCTGGTTACTGTAACTAGTTGACTTCTTGCTGGTTACTGCAACTAGTTGATTGACCGCGCGAGGGGGGGGAGGCCCAAACAGGATTTTTAGCCTCACCTGGGCGCGTTGTCTGAATTGCTGGGGGTGCTCGAAATCGACACCCCTCACGCAGATCCGCGGGGTCAGGGTCCAAAAACACATGGGATTTGCCACAGTTCTGAAATTCGGTGCCACCCCTCACACAGATCCGCGGGGTCAGGGTCCAAAAACACAAGGGATTTGCCACATTTCTGAAATTCGGTGCTACCCCTCACGCAGATCCGCGGGGTCAGGGTCCAAAAACACAGGGGATTTGCAACATTTCTGAAATTCGGTGCCACCCCTCACGCAGATCCGCGGGGTCAGGGTCCAAAAACACATGGGATTTGCCACATTTCTGGAAGTCGGTGCCACCCCTCACGCAGATCCGCGGGGTCAGGGTCCAAAAACACATGGGATTTGCCACATTTCTGAAATTCGGTGCCACCCCTCACGCAGATCCGCGGGGTCAGGGTCCAAAAACACATGGGATTTGCCACATTTCTGAAATTCGGTGCCACCCCTTCACGCAGATCCGCGGGGTCAGGGTCCAAAAACATATGGGATTTGCCACATTTCTGAAATTCGGTGCCACCCCTCACGCAGATCCGCGGGGTCAGGGTCCAAAAACACATGGATTTGCCACATTTCTGAAATTCGGTGCCACCCCTCACGCAGATCCATGCTAGTCGTTGTAACCCAAACTGCGAGTACATCCCCCGCCCTTAAACCAGGTGTGGTAACCCAGCTCGTAAACCATACACTCTACCAATCGCCCAGAGTTGTAACCCCTCTGTGATCAGTTGGATTTTGCCGATTGCGAATCGCCCTCGCATGAGTTCCGATACTGCTGCACGACAGCGCCAAAGCCTCAATGACTTAGCTCTTCCATGGCCCATTCTCCGAGAGAGGGGGCCGGAGGCAGGGGGCGAAGCCCTTACGGATAATGTGTTACGAAGTTTCGCAACACTGATTGTCAACAAAAGCGTGCGCGCGTTCTGGTAAATTCTGAAGAAACCACGAGTTTTCAACATTTGCATAAAATGATACCACACGGGTTTCGCGCGCGCATGCCGAAATCGTCCGAACGCCCTTGAGCGCGTGCTGGCGTGGCACGACCCGTATCAAATAAAACCATGCGAGCCACTCCCGCGCGTCGGCCGCGCGCGTATGTCGAACTCTTTCCAAAACCTTCGTCACCGACGCGAAGACGCCGCCATCGTCGTCGGCGCGATCAGCATCGGCGCCGTCACTGGCTGCCCCGTCGTCGCTGTCAGCATCGTCACCAGCATCACTACTACCATCATCGCGTCCACCGTTGTCGACGTTACCATGATATCGCGCCCGTCCAAGTCTACGACTCGCACTAAAGTGCCCGCTGGTATGTGCCGAGCGGTCAGCGCCACCGCGTTCGCGTCGGTCGTGCCAAACTAGCTGGCCGCTGCGCGTGCGAGCATGCGCGGGCTAGCGCGGCCGCAAAGATGCATCAGCCAACACCCAGCACTCATCGCAATCGCCGCCGCATGGGTTTTGCAAACCAAGTTGCGGGTGGGTGGGTGGGATGATTGCGCGAGCAGTGGAGTTGACAACTTTAAATTCGGCAAATGAATTGCACCACATAGATTGCACCGCATAGATAGCATTACAAAGGTTGCACCGCGTAGATTACACCACATGGGTTGCATCGCATACATTGCACCACATATGTTGCATCGCATCGACTGCAAGAACCTACTGTTTGGGGTCCACGCTGGTTAACACGTTTTTCTTTCTTCTTCGAAGGAAGGGGGGCGGGAACGAGTAGCGGGAATGGAGGGGATTTAGTGTGGAGGAGGGTAGGGAGGAGGAGGAGGGCGGAAGGGACTGATGGAAGGATGGGCTGAGTGAGGGAGGGGCCCTAGGAGCTCACGTAGTTCAAAAACCACTACGAACACAAATGACTCGTCCTTATCGGGTTTCGCCGCTTTCGGCTTGCGGGGGACACTCGCTGGGTCCCTGGGCGCCGCCCGAAAAGCTGCGGCCGGATTGATAAACCAAGCCCGTAGAAAGGACTGGGACCCTGGGCCCCGCAGGAAAGGGGGGGCGGGGAGGACGAGGAGGAGCAGGTAGGAGGAGAAGGAGATGAGGAGGAGAGGAGAGTGAGGAGAAGAGAGGGGAGGAGGGAGAAGGAGGAGGAGGAGGAGGAGGACAGGAGGAGGAGGAAGGAGGAGGAGAGGAGGAGGAGCTGAAATGTGAAGACAGAAGGAGGAGGAGGGAAAACAAAAAAAAAAAAATATTAAAAGAAAAAATGATGACATAACAGAGAAAAATCATTAAGAACATAAAAAGACGATACGAGAGGAAGGGGGGGGAGGAGGACTTCGTCTGGGACTCCGCAGTTCCGGGCGGCCCCCCGGGGGGGGGTGGGCCGCGCGGGGCAGCACGGCCCACGGGGCCTGCGGTCCGCGCCGAGGGGTGCCGGGATCGCCGCTGCCCCAGACGGTGCCCCTTTCGATATCTATGTGTGCATATGTGTGCATGCACATCACTGACTCTTCTCCAGCGGCCCAGGGACCCACTCCAGAGGGCTGGTTAGATCCCTCGCTGGGGGATCTCTTGGAACCTTCTCTCTTTGACATGCGCCAGGCGAGCAGAGCGAAAAGGTTCCTTCCGAAGTGAGCATAGCTGTATATGAACACACACATACATATGGCACGCGCGTGCCCAGGCTCATGCAAAGGCGTGTGCGGGTTGTTTGTGCGTGTGTGCCGCGAGGTGTGTGGTATGTGTGTGTTGTGTGTTGTGTGCAGGTGTCGTGCGCTGTGCGTGACATGTGCGAGTTGTGAGTGGATTATGCGTCATGCATGTTATGTGTGTTAGATGGATTATGTATGTGCGCTGTGCATGCGTGAAAGTGTTTTGCTTGAGCTGAATGTGATGTGAATGAATTATGTGTGGAATATATGTTGACGGGCGGGTCGGGCCGGGCGGGCGGGACAATCAAGTATAATGCGTAATCGACTTGGCACGCGAGAGCCCCAGCGGGCGGGTCCAGTCGGGCAGGCGGACCCTAGCGGGCGGGTCGGGTCTGGCGGACCCTAGCGGGCGGGTCGGGTCGGGCGAATTTTAACGGGCGGGACGGGTCGGGCGGGCGGGACCTTCAAATATGATGCATAATCAAGCCGGTACGCGAGAACGGCAGCGGGTGGGTCGGGTCGGGCGGGCGGAACCTAACGGGCGGGTCGGGTCGGGCGGATCAGAAAGGGCGGGTCGGGTCGGGCGGGCATAAAATATGATGCAGAATGGAGCTGGCACGCGAGAGCCCTAGAGGGTGGGTCGGGTCGGGCGGGCGGACCCTAACGGGCGGGTCGGGTCGGGCGGACCCGTAAGGGCGGGTTGGGTGGGGCGGGCTTTTCAAAGCATGATGCATAATGCAGCTGGCACGCGAGAGCCCTAGCGGGCGGGTCGGGTCGGACGGGCGGACCCTCACGGGCGGGTCGGGTCGGGCGGGACATGATTTCTACGATGCGTAATCAGGCTGGCACGCGAGCCCCAGCGGGCAGGTCCAGTCGGGCGGGCGGACCCTAGCGGGCGGGTTGGGCCGGGCGGAGCCTAGCGGGCGGGTCAGGCTGGGCGGGTGCGACGTCCAAGTATGATGCGTAATCAGGCTGGCACGCGAGAGCCCCTGGAGCCCCTGGACCCGTCCGCTGGGGCCCAGCGGACGGGTCCTGTCGGGCGAGCGGACCTTCGCTGGCGGGCCGGGTCGGGCGGACCCTCGCGGGCGGGTCGGGCCGCGGGCGGGCGGGGCGGGTCGGGCGGGCAGCCCCCATCGGGAGGGTCGGGTCGGGCGGACTGGCCGGTCGGGTCGGGTCGGGCGGACCGGAGAACGCGAGGTTGGTGTCCGGCCAACTCCGAATCGGTGTCTGGGCAACCCCACGGAAGCACCAACGATCTGGATTCTAGGTCGCCTAACTTCGCGCAGGGCGCCCCGCGATGCGCGACGCGCGCATGACTCGGCGCCCTCGCGCCGCCGTCCTGAGGAGGGGCGCCTGCTCAACCCGCCGAGCCGCGATGCGCGAAGCGCGCTGACCTTCGCTCCCTGGGGATGACCTGGGGATTGCCAAGATGGATGGACAAGGTGAACGGCAGCTCCACTGGCAAAGGCGGGACCGTCGAGCTCTGGGAGCACCCCAGGAGGAGGAGGAGGAGGAGGAGGAGGAGGAGGAGGAGGAGGAGGAGGAGGAGGAGAGGCGCAGCGTACAGTCTCTGAGGGCAGCCGCCCCGCGGCGGGCACGGCGGCCCCGCGTGCCTCCCTGCGCCACGACGCGGGCCACGTCTGCGGGCACGCGCCGTGGCTTGCAGCGGCTACGAATGTGCCAGCGGCAGGGGAACAATGTTTGATCTGCAGGGCGAGAGCGAACCTCTTACGTTGAAAGCTAAGCGGGACGCGCACAGCTTTAATTAGCAGAGGAAGGAAAAAATAAGTCGGGGCCTCACGTCAAGGCCAAGAGGGGGCAAAGCCCCGGGATCAGGCGGTGCTGAAAGCGAAGTGCAAGCGGCAGGGGAACAAGCCAGGGCAGAAACACTGACTCTCGGAGGTCCGCGCGGATCTGTCGGATCGGCACCAGGGCCCCCTGGGCGCGCTCCGCGCGCCATGGAGGGGGGTCCACCGCCGATTCGAGAAGTCCGCGCAGGCCTCCGGGAGTTTATGTTTTGTGTTATTCATTGTTCCCCGAAGTGGGGCCTGCCAAGAAAGAGTGGACCGAGGACCTGTATCGGCGGCGCGCCTGGGGGAAGTGGGAGAGGGGGCAGGCCTTCTCAGAAGGCGGCGGGGCTTCTGTACACCTGCACGCGAGTGCTCCATCGTGCTCAACACGCAGCTCCTTGTTCGTGGCGCCAGCTTCGTGGACCAGGACTGCCCTGGACATTGGCCTAGACAACGGTACTGCGTCTACCCACCCCCGAAACACGAACTGCCCCCCGCCTCCTCCCCCGCACTCCGCCAATCGATCCTCAAGAAGTGAAGCAAATATCCCAAACGAACCTTCACCAGGATCACTTTTACAGTGCATGTTTCAATTATACCCGCTCACCTCCGCTAAATTACCAGATGCAAGTTGAGGTCTTCCTCCATCCCGTTATTGAACATCTCCACATCACACCCCGTTCTTGACCATCTGTAGCTGCATACTGCGGTTGACAGCCTTGATGTTTTGCAAACACCCGTAGATGAAATTCGTCTGCGCAAACTCATCTTCAACCAGGCTCGACGTCTCTGAAGCCATCTCCTTGACCCTGGTAGTGGCCAAGCCAGATTGGTATAGCCTGAGGCTGCCCAACTCCCACTCGATGTTGTGAAGCCGTCTTAGTTTTGGGATCGATGTTGGCACCTTCTTGCCATTCAGCTCCTCAACCTTCTCGACCATGTCGCGGGTGGCATCTGCCTCCTTGAGGATTTCCGCAATTTGTGCTGACCATCCGGAGTCCCTGTCTGCGAGCAGGCGCTTGAACCACTCCTTCGTTGCGAAACTGCCGTCGTGGTTTTGCTTCTTCTCGCAGACGACGGTGTGGATGCAAATCACCTCCTTGCTCATCGTCCTCTCGGGAGCGGCCAAGAGGGGGATGTCCAAGAGGGGGGGGTGCAAATCATGACCGGCGGCATGTGCGCAGCCCAGCGGGGGGGGCAGGGACGTAATGAGATAAGAAGAGGCGCCATGAAATCTGGGGAAATGTCATGGCCCACGCCATGATATCCACACCCCCCTAGTCATCACCCCCCTCTTTGCCGCCCCCGATCCTCGCGAGCGCAACCATCTCCGAGAAGAGGGCGCTCGGGAAGGGGCCCCTCCAGAGCCTCGGCTCGGCCGCGGCCTCGCCCGCGAACGCCTCCGCCTTGCCGAGAAGGGCGGTGATCTGCACGGGGTCCACGCGAGTGTCCTCGCCGATGAGCAGCTCCTTAGGGGAACGAAGAATGACGTAAACATAAAAACTCGGAGGTCCGCGCGGGTTTCTCGGATCCGCGCTGGACCCCCCTGGCGCGCCGCCCCTGGCGCGCTCCGCGCGCCAGGGAGGGGGGTCCAGCGCCGACCGAGAAATCCGCCGCGCCGACCTCCGAGTTGATAGTTTCTGCCACTTTTTCTTCCCCTACACTCCTCCAGCGCATGCCCCAGGCGCCCAGGATTCGATGTAGCCCCGAAGCCAGATCGTCGGTGCGGCCCACCCACCTATCAGCATACATTCCCCCAAAACAAACCAATCAAGCCCACCATATCAAACACACAACAACATCCATCATCAACAACACGAAACCCATACCTACAATCTACATGCAACATCAACCACCAACCAACCTCTCCACATCAACAACCCATCCCCCCACCAGACACACAACACCCAACCATCACGGCTACCACACACAAAACACACGAACCCTAAAATTCAACTCCACGAACAACCTCCGCTGAGAACGAGGTCGACGACCGTCATGAGCCCGATGGCGATCAGAATGTTGACGATTATGCCCGCGTCCGGACGCACCACACCCACGTTGCTGCACCCTCTCAGGAAGGCTTGCGTGCCAAGGGCAGCGGCCAGGCATCCGAGGTAGCTGAAAGGAGAGGTGTAGTGGTAGATGAACAGCGTGAGCCAAACGTACGAGAACACGACGGCTGAGAGCGATATCTGGGCCCAGGCGTGGCACCAGCCCAGCAGTGCGTACGCCAGCTGGCCAGAGAACTTTCCAAGCACTACACCCTGCAGCCGAGCCAGGCTCTTGCCGATTGGAGACGTGAGCGACCGCGAGAGGAGCACGGCGATCGTGCCCGGGATCGTGGCATCCTTTGCCGGAATCATGGCGGAGTAGCCGACGTACCCGATGGCGAAGCCGATGAAGATCGCAAGGCACCCACGGAGCGCGCAGTTGAGGTTGGCAGGTGCCATGATGGCGTCACTCTTGAAGACGTTCCGGAGACCAGCAGCCAAGTCGACGGCCTCCCGGGGTGGAGCGTCGGTCTGCTCGGCGAGCCACCTGGAGTAGGCCTGCACGCTACTGGCAAAGTCGCACAAGCTGAATATGAAGACCTGCTCGTCGGTTAGCTGGTGGGCCACGGTTTCAACTACCTCCTCCCTCGACCACCTCCTCCGCCCCCTCCCTCCCTCCACCTCTTCCGTGGCGGCCTTCCTCACCTCCTTCTCGTTGATGTCGACAATTGATTGCCACATCCGCCTGGTCAAGTGAACCTCTGCCGTCCTCACCCCGTCAGCCTCGCGTAGCAGCTCCTCCCTGTCTCCTGCGCGGATGTGGCCCCCGTCCGCGTGCTCCAGCGCGAGCCTGAGGAGGTCGCTGGTCGATTTGGCCAGCGCCCGCATGGCATCCCCACACATCTCGGGCCTCACCATCTCACCGTGGATGCCCTCGAACTGCTCTCGCGTGCACGCATCGACCACGTGCGTGAGGCGCTCGATGCAGCGGCTGGTGGTTGTCTCGAGCTCGACCAGGAAGCGGTGATGTGACCTCCACGAGCGCGCGAAGAAGCCGAGGAAGCAAACTTCCCACCAGGAGCCGTCCAGGTCCTGCTTGAGGATGCTGACGTGATCCTTGATCGCATTCATGGAGCAGACCATCCTCGCCTGGCGCCTCTCATCCTTGTCGTTCGCGAGGTAGAAATTTACAGACTTTTCCCACGTCTGTTCTAGCATACTGACTGCGGCGAAGGCACCATCGCGTGCAAGCTCCATGGAGCTCATGGGGTAGGGCAGAAGGGTGACAATGACGGCCAGGCAAGCCCCACTGACCATAGTAATTACACCATCGTAGACACCCCCGCCCCAGTCGACAAATTCGAGACCCATAAACCACTCCTTAGGGGAGTCTGGGGCAGTCCGCAGCGGGGAGTCGGGGTTCAGGAAAGCCATCCAGAACCACACAAAATTGGCAATGTAGAAAATCTGGAAGCTCATTCCCAGGTTGAGCAGCTGGCAACAGACTATGGAGGCTGCCCCTACCAGCCCACCAAAGAAATAGCAAAGCTCAAACATCCCTGCGCCGCTGCATCCGTCCTGATACACCAGATACATGAGAAGACTGAACGCCGCAGCCGTCAAGGTTCCAGCGATGCCATGCACAGCATTGCTGATCGTCTGACCAAGGGTCGGGGCAAGCGTGTAAACGAAGCTGACGATCGCCCCCTTTTCGAACATCTTCCCCCCGAAGCTGCCCTCGTAGAAGAGCGACGCGGGATCCTTGTTCAGGCCCCAGATGATCGGGGCCCCGAACATCACCAGCCACACGGCCCCCCGGAAGGAGATCTCGACGACACAACGAAAAAAAAAAAACAAAAAACATGACCCCCAAGTCCGCTCCTGCACGAGCATGAACATGCCCGCCGCCACGCCGAGAAGTCGGTGTCTGTGGCCATCTATCCGAACCAGGTGACGGGGGAGCTAATAAAGGCGAGGGCAAGGAGGAAGGAAGGACAAGGAAGGGAGGAGGAGGAGGGAGGAGGAGAGGAGACGGGAGGAGACGGAAGCTAGGAAGGAGGAGGTGAGGTTGGAGGAGGGAGGAGGCAAGGATGCAGTGAGGGCGAGAGGAGGCCCCCGCGACTCCATAAAGCACCCCATCACGCTCCCCAGAGGGGCCCCAGGGTTTGTGTCGGGCATGTCCCCCCGACACGCGGACCGGTAGACGAATAAACCACCAGCCATTGGCTGATTGGCTTTAGCGACACCCGCTTCTGTTTCATCACTAGCCCAAAGCATTCCCCTTCGGGGAGGGGTTTACCCTCCCCCTCCCCCCTCCCCCTGGGCCTGGAGAGGGCGCCCCGCGGGTCGTTGGAGGGGTCTTGTTCGACTCCTGGGAGGGCTAAAAAACGACACCCCTCACGAGGATTCTGGCCCCGACGGGGGGAGGCAGAAAAGTGCTCCCCTCTTCTTTGAAGCCAAAATCATTGATTTTACTACGGTTTTGGCCCCATTTTGGCCTTCTGAGGGGGCAGCGCTAATTAAAGCTCCCCTCTTCTTTCAAGCCAAAATCATTGATTTTACTAAGGTTTTGGCCCCATTTAGGCCTTCTGAGGGGGCAGCGCTAATTAAAGCTCCCCTCTTCTTTGATCGATTTCCTCCAAGATGGCCCCAAGAAGCGCCCAGGAGGCACCAAGAGGCCCCAAGATGGCCCCAAGAGGCCCCCAGGAGGCCCCCAAGAGGATCCCAAACGGCCCAAAGATGCCCCCCCGAGGCACCCAAGACGCCGAAAAGCCCATCAGGACGACCCTCTACTCGCCTGGGCGTCGTTTCTGGACGGGCAGGAGGAGGGGCCCGAACGACTCACACCAGGACGAGGGGCCCGAACAACTCACACCACGAGAATCCCGAACGACTCACACCAGGACGAAGAGCCCGAACGACTCACACCACGAAGAGCCCGAACGACTCACACCAGGAAGAAGGGCCCGAACGACTCACACCAGGACGAGAAACCCCAAACGACCCAAACCACGAGGAGCGCTTTCTCTCCCTCCTCCTCCGCCTCGTCCTTCTCCCGCTCCCCCCACAAGGAGGATGTACACGGAGGCGGGAGGAAGGAGGAACAGGGGAGATATGCGGGGGCAGGCGGAAACACGCCTGAAAAACACGACTGTCGGCATGCTTCGCTAGAGTTGCTGTTTTGAGATGGGCTGGTGGGGATACGCGAAGCGTGAAGAATTCGTTTCCCCAACCATCCTGCGGTGCTGGGCCCTCGTTTTGAAAAGACGGTGCCCCGCATTCCTCTCCTGTCCTCCTCCTCCCCTCCTCCCTCCCTCTCCTCCCTCCCTCAGCGCTTCGTGGCCCCATATGGTGCCCCACCGAAGGTCCCGGTGCTACCGCCCGCATGCGTCCCGCACAGCCAGTACAGCGTTTCGTGGCCCCCTCCTCCCTGCGTTCCACCCACCCAATACAGCGCTTCGTGGCCCTCTAGGGAGCCCCGCCGAAAATCCCAGTGCTACCGTCCTCGTGCGTCCCGCACACCCAATACAGCGTTTCGTGGCCCCCTCCTCCCTCCTCCCTGCGTTTCACCCACCCAGTACAGCTTCGCGGCCCCATAGGGAGCCCCACCAAAGGTCCTTGTGCTACCGTCCGCATGCGTCCCGCACACCCACTACAGCGCTTCGTGGCCCCATGGGGAGCCCCACCGAAGGTCCCAGTGCTACCGTCCGCATGCGTCCCGCACACGCACTACAGCGCATCGTGGCCCCATAGGGAGCCCCACCGACGGCCCCAGTAGGACCGTCCGCATGCGTCCCGAAAACCCAATTTGGAATTTACACCCACCCAGTACCGCGCTTCGTGGCCCATAGGAAGCTACCGACGCCCCCAGTGGGACCGCCCGCATGCGTCCCACACACCCACTTTGGCATTTACACCCACCCAAGGCAGCGCTTCGTGGCCCCATACGGAACCCCGCCGAAAGCCCCAGTGCCACCGTCCGCATGCGTCCCGAAAACCCAATAGAGCATGTTCACCCACCCAGTACAGCGCTTCGCGGCCCCATAGGGAGCTCCAGCCCCCAGTGGAACCGCTGGCACGCGTACCGAAAACCCAATTTGGTATTTACACCCACCCAGTACAATGTCTCGTGGCCCCATAGGAAGCTCCACCGAAACCCCCATTGGAACCGCCCGCATTTGTCACACGCGCACACACACACACACTCACACACAATTTGACATTTCACTCGCCCAATGGAGCGTTTCGTGGCCCCATGGGGAGCTCCACCGAAGGCCCCACTGCCACCGTCCGCATGCGTCCCGAAAACCGATTCTGGCATTTTCACCCACCCAGTACAGCGCTTCGTGGCCCCAGAGGAAGCTCCACCGAAGCCCAAAGTGGGACCGCCCGCATTTGTCACACACACACACAATTTGGCATTTTCACCCACCCAGGAAAACGTTTCGTGGACCCATAGGGAGCTCCACCGAAGCCC